CATGCAATGTATTAACACACTCTGACCAGCAGATGGCGACATATATTCAGGCCACGAGGTGGCACTCAGGTCGAAGCTCACATGTTGATTAACAGCTTAAAGAGGGAAAAGATGGACAGATGAAAAGATGTCAATCCCCAGCCTTCTGCTTCAGAACTACTGAAGAGGACAGGTCAGCTTCTTCACACCACCCTGAGTTAAAGTTTAATCTCCATACTAAAACACATGGACACACTCGCTCCACACAAGGAAGCATTTCTGGCAGGCTGACCAGCCCAAAGCACTAAATCAGAGCCAACGCACACAATCTTCTCACTCTCTCAGGTGATTATCAATCATTAATTTCACCCAAGGATAGAAAAATATGTCCAGGAACCAGAGGAACCTGTCTATCAGGAACTGCTCGGTGTTTATATGCACCTGGCTGGTATACAGTTTAATTCATATATTCGTATAATAACAGATGTGTATATGAAGCATATATGAAGCAAAACTGCACATGTGCAATTTCTTTTTAGGAAAATCTCAAATTAATGAGCGGTTCCAATAAAATAAACCACTAAAATTCAACATGATGTATCCGAGTACAGGATATAAGAGGGAATAACTCTGGGATTAGTCAACTTCGAGGCGCTCCTGTAACCGTCATCGGCCTGCATTCCTGCTCCTCCCACACAAACAGGTTCAATCACAACGCAGCAAGGCCTCGACTCCAAAGGGCAGCTGACATGTCAGAGCTCTGTGGGCTCACCAGCCCAATTCATTCACATTTATAATGAAGTTCCAATGGACTGGCCTGTCCAGGCTCCGCCCACAAACAGTCTTTCATAGCTACGGTTGCTAGGCTGGACTGGTTTCGCAGAACGATAGTGAAAATACCGTTCTACACCCTTAAGAAGATGGTTCTTCAAGTAGAGAAAAAAGGTTCTAAAGTGCCATGACCACCCAAAGAACCCTTTACATGATTAATGGGCTCTTTGTATTATGTAATGTTTTTTCAGACTGATGAAGAATGTGTTGTAGTTGGTTCTATATAGAACCTTTTTTGAAAAGCGTTCTAAAAATGATTCTTCTATTGTCATAAGCTTGATATAACCAGTTAAAAATGGTTCTTCAAGTGTTCTTTAGTCAGGGAAATGGTTCTATATAGAACCACAAGCACTCAAAGAACCCTTTGCATGGTGAAATAGTTCTACAGATTGATGGAGAATGTGTTGTAGATGGTTCCATACAGAACCTTTTTGAAAATGGTTCTCTATAGCACCCAAAAAAGTTCTTCTATGGTTACGATGTCAAGCTTGTAGCGATAGAGGAACCTTGTGGGTGCTATTTAGAACCCTTTTCAAAAAGGTTCTGTATGGAACCATCTACAACACATTCTCCAATAATCTGAAGAACTTTCCTAATGCAAAGAACCCTTTTATTATGCAAAGGGTTCTTTGAGTGTTCATGGTTCCACATAGAGCCTCTTTCTTTACTAAAGAACGCTTGAAGATCCAAGCGTGTATGTCAAGCTTATAACACTAGAAGAACGCTTTGTGGTGCTATATAAGATCCTTTTCAAAAAGGTTCTACATAGAATCATGCAAAAATCATCCAAAGAGTTTTTTGAGCATTCATGGTTGTATATAGAACCATTTTCTTTACTAAAGAACTCTCAAAGAACCATAATTTTTAAGAGTGTACTAACAACAGGAGAGCCCTTTTTGGTGTTATATAGAACCCTTTTCAAAAAGATTCTATTTGGGACCATCTACAACACTGAAGAACCCTTCATGAAGCAAAGAAGCCTCTAATCATGCAAAGTGTGTTCATGGTTCTTTACAGAACCTTTTTCTACTAAAGCACCATCTTTTTAAGAGTGAACATAATGAGAAATTCTAAAACTGTAATTTTTTAGAGGTAAAGATCTGATTAATAAGCTTATTAAAATACGAATACTAATTATTAAGCTAATTAAAAAGTTCACAGCTGTTTTTAATGCTGGTTGCTTACAAAGTCCCATCATAGCACTTCATTTAAAGGGGAACTCCACCAATTTGTAAAAATTTTCATATAATTCAGTGACTGAAATATAAACAAAGTCAGCCAGAGTGAAATGGTTACTTTGTAGAGAAACTTACCGACTCAGATTTCTTTACAGCGGTGGTGGAACTGGTGGTCCCGATAACTACGATGCAAATATAAAATATATTTTATAATATAAAATATTTTATTTACTACCACTGAACCTACATGTGTTTTGAGTTTTATATGCAATTTTAATGTTTGGAAAATATAAGAATATCTGAAAAAGTAAGCTTGGTTTTGGGACTACTTTGCTTTATAACACCCTCCATGTATCCCGCCACCATGAATGGAATAAAATAAACTGTTGAAAATATATTTCAGGGCAAAACTTTATTACAAAACTACCGTGAAACAACGTCTCACACATCAGGCTGTGTGTTCAAAACCAATAACTTCCCGTAAGAGAGCTTTTAGAGGTGGATGTCTGGTTCCTATCACCACCACTGTGAACAATTCTGACTCGGTAAGTTTCTCTAGATCGAAGAAATTCACATCAAACCACTCTGAATGACTCTGTTGACCATTTAAATATGCAGAAATGTTGAAAAATTGGTGGAGCTCCCCTTTAAGATGAGCATCTAAAAGTGGGATAACAATAATTTAAGCGAGTGCTGTTTCAGGACAGATTTGTTACAGGACTGGATCGGATTCTCGCTTTTTCCCTCTCGTACCTCATCCAGCATGCAGCCTGGAGCAACATCAATAAGGCGAAGCTGCCCCGTGACGATGACGACAGATATCTTTAGATCGCAATAAAACAACTAAGCAGAGCTCTGCAGTTCCTCATTATGTCGAATGGGATTTCTGCCAGTAGTTGTATAATAATGCACTAGTGGGCAGAGCCTGGAGAGGTCAATTAGGAACACTGAATAGTTTCACTGGTTGTTGAGTAAACGCTCGTCTCAGAATCTAAAATGTGGCTGCCGGGCTGAGATTGTGAAAGCTGGAAAACATCTTCCATGTGATGGAAAACATCTTAGTGACTTCAACCCTGCTTGGCAGGGCTCTGTGAAATGTGACTGAAGTAAATAAACAGGAGGGAGTTTCTCAAAGCAGGACTTCCCTCTACACCGCATGACTTGAGCCAAGGTTTGAGGATGTTGAACAGAACTGGATTGAGTTGCACCAGTTTTGTGTGAGTTTGTACTTAAGCTTGTGTGTAAAGTCTTTACTGAGTCCTCAGTTACACTAGTTAGTTTCAAACCATCCTTTTACTAAATCTGGTTGCACCACAAATCCGTAAGTCGTGCCGTTACCATGCGTACAGGTTGAACTGGGTAAAGCTAATTATTTATTCTTTAATATTTCCCTGAGGAAAAAAACAAACATGCAGCTTTTTAAAGGACAGTTTCTGGCTGACCGACACAACGGCAGCCTCAGTTTAGCTGTCTGTGAAGCTGAGTCTCACTGAGCTGGAGCTGTGGGTGTTTATCTTCAAGCTCAGAGTTTAAACCAGAACGATGAATGAAAAACTAGTTTGTGGTGCAAATCGTTCTGATTTAGTGATGACAAACCTGAACTTACGTTACAACTAGCCTACGTTTGACCTTACACACAACTGGTGCAACCAGCCACTGAGACTTAACTCTCCTCCTATTGGACATTTGACCTCAGGCTTTAGATTAACCTGTGCAGTAATCAATGACCTGCAATCATATCAGTCAGGAAAGCACAGTTTAACTAAAACTACTGGAGTCTAAAATGAAAATATAATAATACAATATAAATATAAATGTATATCGGCCAATAAAATTATCATCGGTATCACCCGCAAACCATTTGGGGCCTGTTTCGAGATCTCCAGAAATTCTGGATGTTAATATCTTACAGTCTCATGCAAAAGTTTGGTCAAATTTCATGTTGTCGTTGATTTTCTAGGTGAAAATTAACACTAAGTTAACAATGTATACAGAGAACACATTTTGATGCACAATTACTGTTTATTTTTCTGAATCTAACTATATAAATATATAATGAGGCCTGTGCAAAAGTTATGGAACACTTATTTTACTGTGCTCTAAAATTTTCACTTCGACAAAAAAAAACAAACAAAAAAAAACCTAATTTGAATGGGGCGCCCAAACTTTTGCACACAACTGTATCTTATAACTTGCCTGCTATTTCACAAAGCAGGATTTCTCAGTTTAGCCAGATAACTTAAGTCAACCCAAAGTCAAGTCTGGCCAATAGAAAAAAAGAGGACGAGGGAATTTGGGGACTATTTTGCCGTATAACACCCTGAATGTATCCCTCCACCATGACTAGATATTAAGTTCTCAAAACTATCATAAAGCAGTGTCTCAGTCATCAGGCAGTGAATTCATAACCATTTCATGTAATAACTTCCTGTGAGGGAGCTTTTAGAGGTGGACGTCTGGTTCCTATCACCACCACTGTGAACAATTCTGACTCACAGAGCGTTTCACACCAAACCGCTCTGAATAACTTTCTTTGCATCTTTATTTAATCCTACAGAGAACTATAACAATTGGTGGAGTTCCCCTTTAAGTAATCTGGCTAACTGAGAAATCCTGCACCCCTATAATATCTGAACTGTTGATGGTCTACAGCGTTCTAGGTCATTTTAGAGTCATCTACAGTTTTCTTCATCACACATCTTACATTTCCACGCTTTTTTCTTCGTACTATTTACTTGAAAGTGTGCGGTTGATGTTAAGGTCATGTATGAGCAGCAGAATTAGCTTCACATCATTAAAAATACTGATTCCCACACTGTGAGCCGTGACTGCAGACGTCTGAAAGGCAGTGTAAATACGTGTGTTTGGGTGTTTACCTGTCTGACTCACTCTGCTCGGCTGTTCTCAGTGTGAGAGCATTCAGACTCGCCTAGATCTGCTGTCGTCTCTGTGTGTTTGTGTGCTAACTCAGTCATCTTCTCTGTGTGTCTGTGTTTTTATCTCCTGACTCACCCAGCTGGGCCGCGCTCTCTCTCTGTGCGCGCTGCGGCTCCTGATCCGCGACAGCGGGCCGTCTACAGAACTCTCGGTGGGAGCGGACCGCCGGCTAACGCTCCTCGATCGCATCCGCGACACATCCTACACACACACACACACACACACACACACACACACACACAAAGGGTCACAGTTATTGTTAAAGTTACATAACAAATGTTATGTAGAACTTACTATATAGGTGCACTTTGTAGTTCTACAGTTACAGACTGTAGTCCATCTGTTTCTCTGATACTTTGTTAGCCCCCTTTTACCCTGTTCTTCAGTGCTCAGGACCCCCATGGACCCTCACAGAGCAGGTACTATTTGGGTGGTGGATCATTCTCAGCACTGCAGCAACACTGACGTGGTGGTGGTGTGTTAGTGTGTGTTGTACTGGTACGAGTGGATCAGACACAGCGGTGCTGATGGAGTTTTTAAACACTGTGTCCACTCACTGTCCACTCTATTAGACACTCCTACCTTATCAGTCCACCTTGTGGATGTAAAGTCAGAGACGATAGCTCATCTGCTGCTGCACAGTTTGTGTTGGTCATCCTCTAGTCCTTCATTAGTGGTCACACGACGCTGCCCACAGGACGCTGTTGGCTGGATAGTTTTGGTTGGTGGACTATTCTCAGTCCAGCAGTGACACTGAGGTCCAGCAGCACTGCTGTGTCTGATCCACTCAGACCAGCGCAACACACACTAACACACCACCACCATGTCAGTGTCACTGCAGTGCTGAGAATGATCCACCACCCAAATAGTACCTGCTCTGCGAGAGTCCATGGGGGTCCTGACCACTGAAGAACAGGGTAAAAGGGGGCTAACAAAGTATCAGAGAAACAGATGGACTACAGTCTGTAACTGTAGAACTACAAAGTGCACCTATATAGTAAGTGGAGCTGATAAAATGGACAATGAGTGTAGAAACAAGGAGGTGGTCATAATGTTATGCCTGACCGGTCTAAGTGAACACATCCTCAACAGAGAACACACCTCTGCGCATTTTAATGCACAATGACTGTTTATTTGCTGAATTTAACACACTGGGGGAAAAATAAAACATTAACTGTGTTTAATATATTAAACTCAGCAAATAACAGAAATTGTGCAGTAAAATTAGCAGGAAAATGCATTAAGTCTGTTCACAAGTTTGTTCCCAATGGAGGTGTGTCACAAGGAAAAGCATGCAGTTTGACTAGGGGTGTTCAAACTTTTGCGCACAGTGTTTTTCCCCGCATTTCAGAACAATAGAGACTATGAAATAAAACTATGAAATAACTAGAGATGTCCTGAATGTGTTTCTGCCCACCAATCCAATATGAGCCCTCTGAAGGAGCAATAAGTAATATATTTACTGCACTAAATCATAAAATGACCATGGCATGTGATCAGAGATTAAGGAAGCATGCTAAGTTGAAATGCTGGCTTCTCCGCCGGCAGCGCTGCAGCCAGTATCTTTGAAATATCTGTTCCAGAGTGGAAAGTCTGCTTGTGTTTTGGCCTGTGATCCCACCCACTGCTCATTTCCTTGTACCATTTCGACAGATATGAACCGAACAGGGAGGCAAACACAGCGTGCAGCAGCCATGGAAGCAAGCAAACAAACTAGATCCTAACCTACAAGGGCTCATCATCCTTCTGAAAAGCTCCATGACCAGAGACGCAGTGAGACGTGAGTAAATATTGGAAAAATTCAGATAGATTAGAGCCTAGAGGGACTTTAAGACGGATGCAGAGTTGGCTAGTTTTCTCCTGAACCGGTAAGCACTGAACACCAGCTAGGGTTAGCTAATCTTAACTAATTTATCACTGTTATGAGCAGGTGTAGGCATTTCAAACATTCAAGTACTCGCTTAATCAAGGCAGACAAGGCTTCATACTCGCCAGCTTCTTGCTGAAATTTTCCGTTCCACCTTAAATGGTGCAGGAGTTACATTCAAAATGGGAAAATCAGAACAAGAAGCTTGCAAATAGGCTGGTGCCAGAGTGTAACTGCTGCACCATTTAAGGTGGAACAGGAAAATGCCTACAAGAAGCAGGCGAATAAGAAGTCAACTTCAGCTTTAATGAAGGCAGCGAGTATTTTCTGAGCAGCAGGCTTTCGTTTTCAGGATAATTGGCTTAGCTTTGGCTACCATTCATAGCCAGCCATGTCTCTAGCTAACATTGACGGAGTTATAAAAAATCCACGAGCTGGTTTATAATTTGCAACCAACAAAAACATTGCAAGCGTATACATTAGCTATCAATTTGTAGTGTAGCACTCGTCGTCGCTTGCCAAGTATAATGCTGTGCTCATTAAGGTTCAGTGTCCTCAACCTGGCAACCTGTCTGAGCTTCGGGCTGCGTTAGCTACCAGTTACTTTAAAATGCTGCAGTAAAGTTGCTCCATTTTTTGAGTGTGCTAACAGTATAGAGTCTGAATTGACTGCGTTTGAGTTTTTCTGGATTACTTATGAGAATAAAACATTTTGTACAGCTAATAATACACCATAAATTCATGTTTCTCTAAAAGAACAGTTTGATCAAAGCACCACACCAGGATCGTACTTACATCAGCCAATAACCAATTCAGTACGAAATGCCTGGATGCAGCTCTTTGGTTCTCTCAAGCTGCTTTTAAATCAGCATCTTTTCAAATTGTAAGTATTTAAGTTTTAAAGCATGTTAAAAACTTACCTGGCTCATGTTATTTATGTTATTAAATTGCAATACAGGCCGGCATGATTGCAGATTGCTTATTTAAGGCAAAACATCTGTCAGTTCCGCTGTTGGCCGACTGCGATCGTGCATCCCTAGTCAACCTGTGCTTTTATAATATATTGCTGACGACGAATTGACTTTCACTAATCATTGCGGCCTTAGTGTACATTGGTACCTATGTGTGCACCTACTCACCTGAGTCCCTTTGTTCCTTTGCTGTGCCTGGTTCAGTTCCTGGGATGCCAGCTCCCAGTTTGGAGTCCAGATTGGTTCAACCGCCAGAGAGGTCTGGGCCTCTTTCCTGGGCAGAGAGGCTGCCGCAGAAGCTCCATCTGTAGGTGTGGTCCAGACTCTCTCTGGAGTCAAAAGCGAGAAGGGGGAGGTTCCTATGCTAGACGCAGGTGTCAAAGTAGGACCTTGGTTTGAAACCGCTGAAGATGCGAAAGCAGAGGTTTGGGATGGGGTCACTGAGGGTGCTAAAGTTGGGCTCAGGACAGATCCTGATGCTCTGTCTTCCTGCCGTTGAAGCATCTGCTCTATGCTCAGCCTGGTGCTAATGGGTCTCCTGGAACCTTCTGTGGCAGTAACCCACAGAGGTTCATCCACGGCAACTTCACCCTGCGACATACTCCAAGGTCCTGCTTGAGAAGAGTGCCACCCTGATCCAGACTGGGAGACTCCAGAGGCCCAGTCTGACTGAGAAAAGGCCTGGGGTTGTGTTTTAGGTCTTTCGGCACCAAAGCTTTGGGGTTGCAGGGGCGTTTGCAGCTTTGCTTGTTCTAAAGGCAAGGAAGGATGGAAGGAAGGCTGCGGTTGAGACTGGAATTGAGGCAGCTGGTACAGAGGCTGGGGAACAGGGTTGGGTTGCGATTGAAACTGAGGCTGAAGCTGGTACTGAGGCTGAGGGATACCCTGTTGCTGGTAATGAGGGATTGTGTTGGGTTGGAGATTCTGCAAGAGGGCTTGAGGCTGAATTGGCTGAGACTGGAATTGTTGCTGAAGCTGGTACTGAGGCTGAGGGATCCCCTGTTGCTGGTGTTGAGGGATCGTGTTGGGCTGGAGATTCTGCAGCAAGGTTTGAGGGTGAACTGGAGCAACCGGTTTGGTTAAAGCAAATTCCGGCATACCAAAAGGGTCCACGGAAGCCTCAGGTTGCGTTTGGTTCCTGAAGGAATCTATGTCCAGGATAGATGGCCTGTAGGCTTCTTCAGCACGAGGTGAAGGTTGCTTCCATCTGCTTGTGGGGCTTTCATCCCTATCACCCAAAGAAACTGAATCTAGATCGAGCACTTTGGGCCTTAAAGGAGACTCTGCTGTTCTCTTTTCTTGTTCAGTCTCCTGCTTTTGCCGTTCAGCCACCCTCTGCAACTCCTCATCTCTTTCTTTATTCGGCCTCGCAGTATGTTTGTCTCTCTCTCTCTCCTGCTGGGCTCGTCTCTCACTCTCTTTCTGCTGCTGGAACTCGAGAAGCTGGCGTTTCTCAAGCTCCCTGATCCTCTCGAGTTCTTCTCGCTCTCTCTGTCTTTCTCTTTCCTCTGATTTCTGTCGTTCAGACTGCATCCACCGCTCCATCTCCCTCTGCTGCTCCAGTTCTTTCTGTTTCTGTCTTTCTAGTTCATTTTGTCGCTCCTGCTCCCTTTGCCTTTCCAGTTCTTTCTGCCTTTCAAGCTCTCTTTGCTTTTCAAGTTCCCTCTGTCTCTCCATTTCTCTTTGTCTCTCCAGCTGTCTCTGTCTTTCTTTCTCAAGCTCCCTCTGTCTCTCCAGTTCTCGCTGTCTTTCCAGCTCTCTCTGCCTTTCCAGCTCTTTCTGCCTCTCGATCTCTTTCTGCCTCTCGAGCTCCTTCTGTTTCTGTCTTTCGATTTCTTTCTGTTTCTCCAGCTCCAACTGTCTTTCCCTTTCTCGCTCCATCTCCCTCTGTTTCTCAAACTCTCTCATCTTTAGCCTTTCCTGGTCCAGCATTCTCTCCTTCTCTCTCTCATATTCTTTCTGTCGTTGTCTCTCAAACTCCCTTTGTTGCTCGAGCTCCCTCTCCGCTGCCTTCCTCTTCTCGTATTCTATCTGTTTTTGACGTTCCTTTTCCAGTTGTTTCTGTCGTTCGAGTTCCCTTTGACTCTCCAGTTCCCTCTGTCTCTCCATCTCTTTCTGTCTCTCCTTCTGACGTTCCAACTCCCTTTGCCTCTCTCTCTCTTTCTCCAACTCCCTCTGCCTGTCCATTTCCTTCTTTCGCTCCCTCTCAATCTCCTTCTGCTTCTCCATCTCCAATTCTCTCTGTTTTTTCTGCCTCTCCAAGTCCTTTATCCTTTCGTACTCTGCTATCTTCTGCTTCTCAATCTCCAGACCCTCCTCTATTGCTTTATCTTTCAGCTGCATCGAATTCCTTTGCGTTCTTTCTCTACCTTCGCTTCTCCGCCATTCTTCTGCCGAACTTTTCAGAAGCGTAGGGTCCATTGAAGGGTTTCTTCTTACGGAAGCTGATCTACTTGGATAGCCCCACCTGCCACTTTTCACAGAAAAGTCATCAAACGGCACTTCCGCCTTCACATGTTCCTCCGTTTTCCCTCGCTTGTCCACTCCAGCTGCCTGGTGCACGGTCTCATTTAACTGACCCGTTAGAGCAAAGTAGGTGGCCCTTGGCCTGGGTGTTGGATGCTCTTCTACCATCTTCGGCCTTTTGGCGGCTGCTGCGGCTTCTTCTCTTTCCCTTTCTCGCTCCGCCTGTTTCTGCCTCTCCACCTCCATCTGCTTCTGCCTCTCCACCTCCATCTGCCTCTGCCTCTCCACTTCCATCTGCCTCTGCCTCTCCACCTCCATCTGCCTCTGCCTCTCCACCTCCATCTGTCTCTGCCTCTCCACCTCCATCTGCTTCTGTCTCTCCACCTCCATCTGCCTCTGCCTCTCCACCTCCATCTGCTTCTGCCTCTCCACCTCCATCTGCTTCTGCCTCTCCACCTCCATCTGCTTCTGCCTCTCTGCCTGTTGCTCCTCCTCTTCCAAGTCAGCTCTGGCAGCCATGTGAACCTCCATCTGCCTCTGGATCTCTTCCTCCATCTTCCTCACCATCTCCCTCTGCTTATCCCTCTCCACATCCTTAGTTTCTGATTCCACCCACTTGTGCAGCGCCCCCACCCTGAGGACCCGGGTGTTACAAGGCTCTGTAGTGGAGTCAGCTGGAAGAATGTCTTTATCCTTAAACTGGTTCGTGTACCCCAGGATTAGGCTACTATCTTCAGCTGGACCTCCAATTGCTTGCTGCGGCTTCTCTGACCCCTCCGACCTTCGAGAACGGAGAGTGAGCGCCCGGTCTTCTAGGTGAGCGGCCGGTACACTCTCACTGACCGCACGAATCTCTTCAACAGCAGCCAAAGTGTCAAAAACGTGCTCCACTCGCCGGGGGCTGGAGGGCGACTCCGGCTCCCTGTAAGTTGCTGTGACCAAACTACTATCCTCTTCATCCCTCAGAGCTTTGGGGACGCTGTCTGCTTTAGCTCGGAGAGAGATATTCCGCCTGGGCATGGGCTTCACCACCGGACCTGCAGGGCTGCTGCTGTCCTCCACCATTTGAACACTGTGCCTTTCCACCACATTATCAAACAGCGAAGCTCGGACTGTTTGCATCCCACTGTCGCCTGGATGCAGGACAGATGAGTCGTCCTGTAGCCTTCTGTCATCAAGGGTCTTTGACTGTCCAATGGAAAAGGGGTCCTCAAACTGGAAAATAAAAGCAGAAGCGACTTTGTTATTCCACTGATAATTTGGTGAAAAAATTTAACATGCACAATCAGCCAAGACTCGTTCAGTGTCTGAAGTTTGCTTCTCTAGTCTTACACTGGAGCTATGAGGCTAAGTAGATAACAAGCAATGGAAGCTAAGCACTGTGCAAAATGTCTGGAAAAATCTTCATCACCACATATTTGCCTAAACAGGGCGCAGAGAAACTTGTTCATCCATTTGTTACAAGCAGACTCGATTACTGTAAGGACGTATCAGCATCATAACAAAAACAACACAGAGAGATCAGATCACTCCCGTTTTAGAACAGCTGCACTGGCTGCCTGTATCATTCAGAATAGATTTTAAAGTTCTGCTACTAGTTTTTAAAACTCAAAGACCTTAAAGCACCATTTACATCACAGAGTGTCTGTCTGTTTATGTTCCAGCACATAATCTAAGATCTGCAGATAGTGGCCTTCAACAAACACCCTCTGTAAAATACAGAAAACATGGAGAAACTTTGTTATTCTGCTTTTAAACTGTGGCGCTCAATTGACCTTTTATTAGACAGTCAGGCTCAGTACTCACTTTTAAGAAGCATCTAAAAATGTCTCTCTTTAACTCAGCATTTAATTAAAACTTTGTCTCATGGTATTTTCTTATATGGTTCTAAATTAATACTTACAATTTACTGCATTACTAAGTTTTATGACCTGTCTGTAAAGCATTTGGAGCTGCCACTGGCAAGAAAAGTGCTATACAAATAAAAATTATTATTAAAAAAAAAAAACACCAAAAATGTCCTGGATGATCAACCAGATTTGGGATAAATATGAAGAACTTTCTCTGCTACCAGTTTGATGTAATATAACTCAATCTAAACACCAGACAATACGTTAACTCTTTCATACTTCACTGTATCGCTCTTTTTGTCTGTATTATATCCTCTGGATCAGCAAGAATCTCAAGTGGAAAAACTCAAACTCTAAAATTATAATGCAACAAAAGCAGTCCTAGCAGTCTCTGGGAGTAATTACAGCTTTCTACAGTGAGAGTGGTGAGCAAACACTTTTCTTAACTTGGACGTGCACTATCACTGCAGTCAGACAATGTAAGGGTCAGTTTGCACATGCTGTGATACTGCATAAGCAAAACTGAGCAAAATGATAAATGACATACATCAGAACTGTCAGAACAAAAGCTTCTATCCCCATTTTTTTCATTTTCCAGTTTTTTGACATAAGTTGAATATGCCTGTTGTCCTTTACAAAATGTGTAACTTCATGCTGAATGGACCAAAAGAAACGGTCCAAAATTACTTGGTAAGAATTCTGGTTCCATTGACTTACATTAAAAGAAAAGCAGGTTTTTCGCTTCTGCCGTTATTTTGGAGATATGATGTTTGGTTCTAACGGAAGATATATTTATCTGCCATATAAGTATCTGCCGTATAATATATATATATATATATATAAAAACAGTTAGTTCCGGCCACGCAAACTGATTGGTGGAGAAGCGTTCTAACCAGCGTTCAAGCTAAGCAACGACTCTGACAGCTGTAGGAGACGCTCAAGTCATTTGAACATTTTTACTTCTTACTTTGCCACAAACAGAAAATGGACACTTTTAAGATCACATTTGACCGACAGCCGATTTGGTCAGACTCTGAAGATGAGACGACACTAAATTCCCAAACTGTCATCACCACTGACCAGCTTTTCAGTCGGCAGCTGAGACAGAAGAACAGCTAAACAACCTGGAATCAGCCAGAAATGAACCCAACACCATTTGCCAAACTAAATGGGCTGTAAGATGCTTTACAGACTGGCTGGAACAAAACAACATTAATACTGATCTGGCAAAAACTGACAAAACTGAGCTGAACTTGATATTGCGGCAGTTTTATGGCTCAGTTCGTACTTCAAAAGGCGAGGCTTACAGCAGACTGAGCAGAGTGAGCGGAGTTCGTTATTCTGACGTAGCAACAAGCTGCTCGTTAAGGAACTATAATTTGGTGAAGGAGCTGCGAACATTAAAACATATTAAACGCCGCGTTCACGGCCCAGTTTATTAATTTATTACTTTATTTATTTAACTGTTGTATAAAAGCAGTAGAACACTCGAGGAGTGTGTTATCATGAATAACCTGCCTTCAGCTTGTGCCTGCGACCAAATCACACACACACATTTTTGTCATTTTACTTTCTTAGTGCACATCAACGTGCAAACGTTTCTGTGCTCCCAGCCAAATTACATTGTTTTTGTTGATTTTCTAACTCTAAATAATTGAACACATCCTCTATAGAGACACACTTCTGCACATTTTAAGACACAATTACTGTTTATTTGCTGAATTTCACATACTGGAAAAAAATGAATACATAAAGTGTGGCCTGTGCAAAAGTTTTGGCACACTTTGTATTGTACCTTTTGTTTTTCCCCTCCCCCAGTTTGTTAAACTCAGCAAATAAACAGTCATTTTTCTCTAGAAATTGTTCCTTCAAGTATATTCAGTTAGAACTACGGGTGCTCAAACTATTACACAGGAATGTGTGTATTTTTATATAATTTATAATGTTTCTACCTGCCATAGAACTGAATGGTAGTTCCCTCGTATGTGCTTCTGTATCCAATTATTTCCCCTTTTTTCATTTGTCTCACTGTATTCTACTGCAATACAACGATAATGATACATTTATTTAATTTAACTTTTACTTCTTCTCTGTTACTCTTCTCACATTTCAATTGTAAAAGCTACCAATTAAAAAGACATAAAAAAGGAAAGACAAAGAAAGCGCAGGGTAACAGGCTCTGCTGTAAGCAGACAGTGAAAGGGAGAATTCTGTCTTTGTTGCAGTTGTGAATGTAAGAAGGGGCACAAATCAAATCCTGCGCATTATTCTCTCTCAGTTTAACCTTTACCCCTCCCTCTCTCTCGCTCACTCTCCCTCTATGTTTCATAATCAGGAGATGACTAACACTGCGTCTCGGGTTACACACCTGCCGGCACCACACCTCTCTGACATCGGCACTGCCTTTTTCAAACAGGTCCGGTTCATCTGTTCTGTGTTCTCACACTGTGTCTCTCTCTCGCCTTTTAAATCTGAGGGACAGCCAAGGGTGAGGCCACTTATGGGTTGTCATTTGTGGTCGAGTCCCTGTTGCACTCTGAAGAGTTTCTGGGAACTATTTTGCAATTATAGATAGTAAAAATGCAGTTTGAATGGACAATAAAAGAGGCATGAGGAACAGAAAACGACTCTCGGCTCAAAACGAGAGGAAAATGGAAATTGAACGTGAAAACCATGCAAAACTACAGACTTCCGTCATGTTCACACAAGGCTATCATCAAACATGTTAAAGCAGCCCTGTACTTTCAGCTGCTCACAGTAAAAGCAGTCATACATCACGTTTTACTGATGGTATCAACACGATATACAGGCAATAAATTTACTCTACAGCACACCAGACAACCCAGCCTCTCTGCTAGTTACACATTCTGTGTGAAGCCTCACATCCTCTAGTCCTTCATCAGTGGTCACAGGACACTGCTGGCTGGATATTTTTGGTTGGTGGACTATTCTCAGTCCAGCAGCGACACTAAGGTGTTTAAAAACTCCAGCAGCACTGCTGGGTCTGATCCACTCAGACCAGCGCAACACACACTAACACACCACCACCACGTCAGTGTTACTGCAGTGCTGAGAATGATCCACCACCCAAATAGTACCTGCTCTGTGAGGGTCCATGGGGGTCCTGACCACTGAAGAACAGGGTAAAAGGGGGCTAACAAAGTATCAGAGAAACAGATGGACTACAGTCTGTAACTGTAGAACGACAAAGTGCACCTATATAGTAAGTGGAGCTGATAAAATGGACAATGAGCGTAGAAACAAGGAGGTGGTCATAATGTTACGCCTGATTGGTGTATTTCACTTGATGTTCCTTATCGTAAAACATGGTCACTTCTTCACATATGCGTAGATTTATATACTAAACACAGACATAATTCATTTTTATGTGACCTTTTTTCAGCCTCTCTTTATGTCTTTATGTCACCAGGCTGTTTTAGTTACTGTACCTTTAATTCTGATATGTGTACAGTCGTATGCTAAAGTTTGAACACCCGCAGTTAAATTACATGGTTTTTTATTCTAAGTGAAAAATAAGTCATGTTCTTTATGTGGAACAAATGTAAATACAGAACTTTTATGCAAATTTTAGTGCGTAACTTCTATCCATTTGCTGAGTTTAACATTAAAATACTACACGTGGCTCCCAAGTCAACCATCTAAGCGTTGGCCAGATCATCAGGAGATCGCGAGTTCGATCCCTGGTGATGCTGTCCAAGAGGGCCCCCCCCCCATATGTTTAATTCAGTAAATAAACAGTAACTGTGTATTGAAACGTGCGGAAGTGTGTTCTCCGTAGAGGATGTGTGTAACTTCTTCACACTTGGAAAAATCAACAACGTCATACGACTAGGGGAGCACAAACTTTTGCTCATGACTGTAAATGAGCCCTGTTCTGATTGGCTGTCCTGTATCATGCCTCATCAGTTTAACTTCATTGTGAATGAGTGGGGCTAAACTGCTGTAGGCTGAGCAGCTGGGTGTGTGCAAATGTGCTGGTTTTTGTGACATCATAGAAATGATGAATTCAAAACAGGCTGTTCTAGCAACTTTAATTACCTGACCATTGAAGAACAGGATACCAAAGTATGCAGAGAAACAGATGGACTACAGTCTGTAACTGTGGAACTACAGAGTGAAACTATATGGTCAGTGGAGCTGATTAAATGGACACTGAGAAACAAGGACTAATAATAAAGGACTCTTAATAAAGTGGTGTCTGTAAATCGCAGGCTTAGTCTGTACGTAATGGGCGATTCAGACGTACAGTGTGATTTGTTACCAAAGGACAAGATTGCACTCTGTGAGATCTTCGTATGGTAAGAACATACATACTAGGGCTGGGTAATGTGTCAATATACATGGTTTTTGTGATAAATTGTGTCACAATACATTACAGTACGCTTTTCTGAACATATCCTGTATATCGTCATTGCTTGTACCACACTGACCAACTACGTTTCATAACAAAGAGAGCAAAATTAGCCTCGTTTGACTGGATTTAGTGCCAAATACTGAATAAAAATCACTGTGTTCACAGTTTTTGACACTATTTTCTAACGTCTATCACTAATGGCTCTTTTTTCTCTGTTCCAACTGATCAGATTTCTGAAAAAATAAATGTTGTGATGTAGCATGTATTGTGAAAAAGTACCATGATACTATATTTTTGCCATATCACCCACATCAATATGAACAGAAGCTCACTCTGATGTTTCTCAGACTTGGACTAAATGGACTACATTTTAAAGCTGGTGGTGATTCACCCTTGGAAATCTTTATTAGCCTAGACTTAGGCGTAATCTGCTGCAGGGAGATCAGCCAGTGGGATAATATATGGAAAATTACTACATATATCATTACTGAACGCGTGCAGAGCGACCTCTGATTGATCAGATTTTTAATCTCTGACTGATCAGATTTTTAATCTCTGACTGATCAGAGATTAAAGAACGGTTTCCTGGATCAGCCAGATATTCAATATACTACGTACAATTAACAAAGAAAAGTTACCATTTATTATTTTGCTTATTCGTAATATAATTAACACTGTATGGCTTTTTACTTTCCCTGAACATTTTTAGTTGCTAGTTTTACTTTTTCTCTTATTGACCTATACGTACAGATGAACAACACAAACAAACAAAAAAAAAAATCTAAGATCTACACGTACAGAATATTCAATAACATACTTCTTTTCAAGAACACTGCTAGTTTTTACTGTTGTTGAGAGAAAAGTTAAGAAATACGTTTTAAAAATTCTTAAGAAGTCATTCGAAGAATTACATTTACTTATATTTTTTAATGTATGTAGTTAAAAAAAAAATGGCACAATTAAGATCTTCTTTCTTAAGACTCTTTAATCCGGGTGTAGCTCTGATGTCTGCCAGTAAAGTAGGTGAGAGGTGTTATTAGTGAACTCACAGCACAGATTTACTGACCTTCAGAATCTCAGTTACCAAAAGCTGCATTTATCTCACAACAACTGTGTACTTTTGATAAGTGAACTGAGTGTAATAGCAGTGGTCAGCCAGCAGGACGATCCTTTCCCCGATTCAGCCTCTTACTGACAAACTATTCTGCAGTCCACAACAATAAAACATCAGAAATCCAGACTCACTGAAGAGTCCTTTAATAATATAACTGTGTCTTTGATCTTATTTAATCACTGTATAAATATTTATCACAATTCACTTCATTTCACAGCCCAACGCCAACCACTGAGCTTCTAACAAAAACCCTCCTCCACAAAGCCGCCAAGCTAACCGAGTAAAATGCACACTGCTGGATAAAAACACTTAAAGGGCTCATAACCAACACTTTTGTACTTTATTTTTTGGGTTTATGTACCAAAAACAGTCATAAACGAATTTTACATGATTTTCAGCCTTTTTTATCACATAGAAGTGAACAGGCTGTTTTTGGCACTGTACCTTTAAGGCCTACATATGCAAATGAGTTCTGTTCTGATAGGCTGCCCTTTATGCATCTTGTTCAAAAAGCAGTCCAGGTTGAAACCCTCCTTATAACTTTAACAGGATTAAAGGGCGGGGCTAAACTGCTGGGGGCTGAATGGCATGTTTTCGAAACTTTCAGAGTGTTTACATCAAACTTTTAAAAAATTAGGAAAAATCAGTTTTCCATGATATGGGCCCTTTAATACTCATTAATACACAGGTCACACTCGTACAACACAGTTACATATCTTACATTTAACTTATATCTTATGTAAGTTTTTCACTATATCACAATGTTGGTCTTTGCAATACTGAGTGTGTTTTCATGCACTCAATAATCCAATCATGATTGGATTTCTGCAGTTATCTGATCACTCAAATGGTCATGTAAACAGCACACTCTGATTTCTTAGATCAGATTAAGGTATAGAAATCTGATTAAGAAATCTGATAAAGAGGCTGGACTTTAGCTCAGTAATCAGGTTTCTCAGTGTATTTAAACTCTTACTCTGATTTCTTTCGGATTTCTCAATCTGAGCATGTGCAGAAACAGACAGTGGTACTGGAAATAAACGAGCAGCGTCGCCACGAGACGCAACAAAACACTTTTGGAGTGGCACTGAAACCAAATACATGCTGGACGAAATGAAGGATTTAAAAATTCTTCATCTTCTAGATTTATGTTCATCTTTTCAGGTAAAGTGGCGCAATGGTTAAGTTTTCCGTTACATTTACATCATGTCGTCTTCTGTGAGTTACTGGCTGGTTGCAAAGCAGAAATCTGATTACTGTCTGACTCATGTAAACCCAGAGTTTCCCTATTATCTGATTACTCAAGTGCATGTAAACACGTTGATCAGATTACTAAAAATTTCTGCTTTTCTGCAGCTGTCCGATTATTAAGTACATGTAAACACACTGATATCACAGAAGGCTGCAATATGCAAATCAGCCCACTAACCAATCACAGTGTTCTTTTCGGTCTACTGAGCATCTTGACCAATCACAGCTCCAGATCAGTCTCTGTGGGTGTTCTGATTGAACAGGGTTTTCACGTGATTCAACAAAAGGAGAGTTTTTAATACACTGGAAGGTGCATCATGATGAAAATCTAACCACAGCACTAGTATCTAGTCATTTTCTCACCTTCTTACTGAGATCTTCAGCGCCCTCCTGAAGGCCTCTGGGCTCGGCAGAGCTGGGGCTCTCCACATCCGACGCAAAGCTGTGAACAGATCAGCACATCGTTATGGTTTCTCAGACATGGACTAAACTGAATACATTTTAAAGCCGGTGCTGATTCACCACTGAAAAACCGTATTAGTCCAGATTTAGACTTAATCTGCTGCTCGGAGATCAGCCAGTATAATTACTACACGTACCACTACTGAACACATAATCTCTGACTGATCAGAGATTAAAGAACCGTTTCCTGGATCAATCAGATATTATTTCAACATGCTACATATAATTAACAAAGAAAAGTCACCATTTATCATATTTCTTATTCATATTTAAAATCAATTAACACTTTGGTTCAGTCCTGTGTGGCCTTTTACTTTGCCTGAACCTTTTTTTTCTCCACAATTTTAGTTGCTAGTTTTATTTTCTCTCTTATAAATCTACATGTACCAATAAAAAACACAATCAAACCAGAAGATCAAAGGAAAGTTAGTGTTTTATGCTGCTGGTATAAACTGTATGATGCTAAAATCTCCAGGAAATCTGAGTAAATCAGTAAGTAGACTATAAAATTATGCTCCTCTGCAATTAGCATTTCCAAAGTGGTCAGAAGCAGGCTAAAGTTTAGGCAGTCCTGGTCAGATTACAACCTGTTGTTGATTTTCTGAGTGTAAATAAGTGATCACATCCTCTACAGCAGGGGTCGCAACCCAAACATTAAGAAGAGCCGTTTTGTCCTTTCAACAAAGATCAAACCACTTTGGGAGCCACAACATTTTATTTTACCATCTTGGCTGTAAATATGTCTCAGTATGTGCTGATGTCCTAGTATAGACTAAAAATATAATATAAACAAAAACACAGACTTACTTTGCTCTGCTTTAAGCTTTAGCTCAGCTATAGCTGCTTTTCTCACATCTCCAGCAGGAAACTTTCCCACAACAGTAGAACAGTTTCTTGTAAAATGTCTCACAACATTCGACTTTTTACGAGGCTGAAGTCGCTTCTCATTCGCCAGCTTCTTGTTCTAATTTTCCCATTCCACCTTAAATGGTGCACCAGAATGTAACTGCTGCACCATTTAAGGTGGAATGAGAGATTCAAATGAGAAACTGACTTCTGCTTCATGACTTTTAGTGTTTGTCAGTTTCTCGTTGCAGATTAAACGTATCAGGAAACCAGCTGGAGTGATTATAAACGTAAATAAGTCCATTCGTCTCCAAATTATCGATGTTCATCTTAAATATCTCTCTTTGCCGTTTCGTTAGCTACTAGCTAGGCGAGATTGTTGCCTGTGTTGCTATGGTGACCAGCAGTCTGCGCTGATCTTCAGTGTTAAAGGGTGAATCAGCAGTTCTACATTAACTCCAGAGTTTAAGACCATTTATTGTTAAACTGTGTTGAACGATCAGCAGAGCTTTATTTTACTGTAAAGGAGGATTATTTTATTTTTACCTAATAATCTGATTCTGCTGTGGAGCCACAACAGGGCAGTAAAAGAGCCGCAGGTTGCCGAACTCTGGTCTACAGAGACACACTTCTGCACAACTTAACACACAGTTACACAATGAAAAGAAATAAAACATAGATGTGGTCTGTGCAAAAGTTACAGCACATTTTTCCAATACATTAAATATAAATAAACATTATTTGTGCATTAAAATGTGCAGAAGTGTGTTCTCTGTAGAGGATGTGTTTACTAATTCACAGCTAGAACAGGCATGCACAACTTTTGATTATGCCTGTAAAAGGGCATTTCTCTAAATTTCAAATGAAAAATATTTATGCATTTCAGCTTCTGAAAAATAACACCTAAAATAAGGCAACTGAGGAAATGAAGAGCAAAACAAAAGCAGTTTAACACTGTTAATAAAGCTGGCTTCACACACAGACCTCAATCTGTTCACTATAGAATTACCACACGCGGTCAAACAGACACTTAAGGTCACCTAAAGTAACTCTGTGTACACGTAAACAAACTTACTACAGCATGTATGGATACACCTGTTATTACACTGTACTCAGCACTGTGCAAGAGCACGGCCTGCCAAAAGCATTTCAAAATACATATTATAAAAATTCCCATTTCTCAATTTCTTGGCAAATTAAAGACTAAGCACATTTATTTAACAATATCACGTGCAAAAAAATTCCACAGTTGTTCAGAGTGTTTTTTCTGTTCCAGAGAAACTTGCCCGATGACTGAGACACTGTTTTATGAAGGCTCTGAGAAGATTTTGGCCTTAAACTCCATTCATGGTGGAGGGATACATGCAGGGTGTTGTGAGGCAAAATAGTCCCCAAAGAAAACTTCAGATTTATGACTATTTACCATCATCAACATTCCATATAAACTCAGAAGACTTGTGTAGGTTCACTGGTGGTTTTGGATAGCAAATAAAATGTCTATATTTGTGTTGTAGTCATGGCGACCCCTGGTTCCTTTCACCACCACTGTAAAGACATCTGAACCATTTCACACCAAACCACTCTGAATGACTGTGTTTATATAGAAAAATCAATAGAATCCCCCTTTAATTATAAATCCACTTATATAAATTACTACCAATTCACAAAAAACAAGCTCTTTTGCAATAAAAAGTATTTTAAAACATGAAATGTCTCCACACTTTTGATAGGTAGTGTATTGTTGCTGCCAAAAGAAAGAAAAAATTACCATCTGTTAATGTAACAAACACATTTAACAGATTATTTGTTTTGGTCTATTTGTGATAAAGCGCTCACACAATGTAATGTGCAGTTCCACTGTGTGAAAACAGTTTAAAAGAACACAAAAAAACAGAATACATGCAGAAGATTTCGCGTACCGTTTGGTAAGATCTGTCGGCAGTGGGCGGGGCTTAAACTGAGGTTTCTGGGGCGGAGCCGGCGCAGTGGAAAAGTCTTCGGTCAGCTCTTTGATTCGCTGTTTGACCCCTACGGCGCCGTCTGTGTCTGCGATTGGCTGCGCCGGTGGCCGTGAATCCGCCCCCTTTGTAACAGGCACAGAGAAGGACGAGTCGAGAAGAAGGCTGATCCTCCTCTTTATGCTACTTCCTGCCTTCTCCTCCGGCTTTGTATCCTCCCCTTCGGGTTCCTTCTTCTCCGAACTAGAAGCTTTGACCTTCCCGTCGTTCTCTGCCGGCTCTTTGTCTTTAATTCCCACGTCTTCCTGTGCTGTAGCGTCCTGTGCTGAAGGTTCTGGAGTGTTCTCCTTGCTCTCCGCCTTTGTAGGCTTTTGCCGGTGCAGCGAAAGCCCAATGGACTCGAATTTGGACGTGAGGTCAGCTGAAAGTGGACGTCTAGCCGTCCAGCGGGGTGCTGGAGTTGGAGCTGCGGCTTTGGGCTCCGGTTGGGGTGCATCTTGGAGAAAAATGGCAGAAACTGGCCTCGGTCTGGAGCTTCTGGAACCAGTTTCTTGGGGCGTGAAGACATCATCTGCTTCTTTGCTTCCATCACCTTCAACTCCAGCTCCGGGTAAGAAGCCCATGGATTTGGCCCTGGTGATAGGAGCTCCGGCTGGTTTAGGTCTAGAAGCACCGGACCATTCTGCAGCAGGACGTGGTGGACTGATGCTGGGTTTGGGCTTAGATGTAGAGGGTCCCAAGGTTGTTCTTCTCAAGACACTTCCAGTCTGAGTTGGTGTGGGTTTGCTGGGTTCTGTAGAAGGTGCTGGCTTCAAAGTCTGGGCTGCTGGTTTGCTGGCCTGGCCCGCACCAGGCTTCGGACCAGGTTTAAAAGCAGTTGAAGTTGGCCGTCCACTCGCCGGCTTGGGTTTGGGGGCGCTTGGAGGTTCTGGTTTGTCCGGTTTAGAGGAAGCTAGACGAGTTGGTTCAGGTCTAGGCTTGGGTTGAGGTTTGGGGGCGACAATGGGACGTATTGTCGGGTTTCTCTCCACAGCAAAAGGTTTTGGGGTCAGTCTGGGTTTGGGGCCTGGGACGGGTTTCCTCGGCTCTGGGCTGATGATGAGAGAAGATTGCGGTCCAGGTGAGCCCTCCATGAGGCCTTTATTACTGGAGTCAGTCAGGGGGCTCAGAAGCAGCCGGCCAGCCTCGATTTCCACCTGGGCAGCCATCACAGCACCTGAGAGAGAAAACAAACCCATTAACTCAAACTCACTTTACTTATACGCCACCTATGTTAATGTAACATTAAGCAGACACTTTTCTTTATACATCTTTACAGTGGTGGTGATATGAATCAGAGGTCGCCATGACTACAACACAAATATAGACATTTTATTTACTATCAAAACCACCAGTGAACCTACACGAGTCTTCTGAGTTTATATGGAATACTGATGATGGAAAATCGTGGAAAATCTGAAATAATACATTTTCTTTGGGGACTATTTTTCCTCACAGTACCCTGCATGCATCCATCCACCATGAATGGATTTTAAGTTCTCAAAACTATCATGAAACAATGAGTGTGTTGACATGCACTTAATAATCTGATCATAATCAGATTTCTGCAGTTATCCGATTATTCAAATGGTGATGTAAACAGCACACTCTAATTTCATAGGTCAGAGTAAGGTCTAGAAATCCGATTAAGTATTCAGATTCCTCAGCGCATGTGAACTCTTACTCTGATTTCTTTCGGATTTCTCAGTCTGAGCATGTGCGAAAACAGATGGCGGTACCAGAAATAAGTGATCAGTGTCGCCGTGAGACACAGCAAAACACTTTTGGCGCGACACTGAAACCAAACACATGCTTGACGAAATGAAGGATTTAAATATTCTTCATCTTCTAGATGATGTATGTTCATATTTTCAGGTAATTTCAGGCAATGTGACGTTTTAAACAAAGAAAAGTCGCGTAATGAAGTTTGAGTTGTACATTACGTTTAAGTCACGTCTTCTTCTGTGAGTTTATTGGCTGGTTGTAAAGCAGAAATCTGATTACTGTCTGACTCATGTAGACCCGGAGTTTCCCCATTATCTGATTACCCAAGTGAATGTAAACGTGTTGATCAGATTACTGACAAAATCTGATTTTCTGCAGTTATCGGATTATTAAGTGCATGTAAACGCACTCAATGTCTCAGACATCAGGCAGCGAACCATTTCATGTAGTAACTTTCTGTGAGGGAGCTTTTAGAGGTGGACGTCTGGTTCCTATCACCACCACTGTGAACAGTTCTGACTCTGTAAGTTTCTCTAGAACAGAGGGTTTCACACCAAACCGCTCTGAACGACTCTGATTACATCTTAATTACACAAACATTCTGGTGGAATTCCCCTTTAAGTGTTTGTGTTCTAAGTGCACTGTCGCTGTTTCTATTATTATAAACATTATTACTGTTATAGATATGTTTTATGTGGTCTCTGTATGTGATGTCAGAACTGACAAAGAGGCAAAACCAGCCTGATTTCCAGCACAATGGAAAAATGACTGCACCCTAAGAAAGAGCGCTATTCCACTGTAGCGTATTACGGGCGTGTCTGAACACAGAGAGAAAGTCCTGCTGTTTCTGCTGCGCTGGACTTTGGCTCTGCAGATACAGTCCTACACAACACTGACACACCATTAATCACACAGGGCGTGTGTGTGAATGTGTGTGTGTGGCTGCTTTAAATCTCCCTGATTGGACATGATGATTGGACGCCCTGTAGGGGGGAAATCGATTCGGTTAAATCTAGAGTTCAGTCAGAGAACAGCCCATTAGTATGCTAGTGAAGAACTGCTACATTATTATCACTGTACTTTAACCGGAACAGAGCGCTGTGGGTGGACAGCATGGACATTTACGGCAGTGCTTTAGTTTACAGTATAGGAAGTACCCAGTAATAAAAACAGCTAATCTGATCTGATCTAATCTAACATAACAAAACATGCAAACTTTGCATGTTGTTTACGTTGCCATAGCTGCACTGCTGTCAATCACTATGCAGTCTGACTACCCACACAGTCCGCACTAGGCCGGCGGGCTGTTTCTGTTACTGTGCCTTTAAGACATATGAGAAAGGACATATGTAAATGATATATGTAAATGAGCTCTTTGAGAAAGCAGAGATGAAACACTCCCTAAAACTTCAGTATGAGTGGGCGGAGCTAAACTGCTGTAACCTGAATAAGAGGATTTGTAAATGACCTGCAGCCAGTTGCACCAGCTGAACGCAAGTGTGATCATAGCCTGGCTTGAACGTAAAGTTTACGAGCTACTAGAATTTAACCGGTTGCACCAAGCAACATAGTTGCATTGTAGCTTTGAGTTAAAGTTTACACGCATCCTATAGCCGGTGTAGGTTCTGCCATAAAAATCAGTTAAAATGGCTGATTAATACGATCGATGGGAAAACTCGCAAGAAAACGGAATATGTCTCAGTTTACGTCGGCAACCAGTTCTGCAGGATAGATTACACCCATTTTCATCGATCAGAGATAGATTTTTCTACAGAGTTGTTCCAAAACCTGGTTGGCGACTCACAGCTATAAGAGCAGCTCCATCAGTGCTCAGGCTGTGTGTGATGCTGACCTTATTATCATACAATACGTAACAAATTATTTTTAAAATATAACTAACATGGCTAACATTACTTTTCTGTCATTCAGCAGATTCGAATAGCCATTACATTAGCCGCAGCTTCGCTAACGTTACCAATCGTTCATTAACGTAGTGCTGTTAAAATATTGAGCACGAGAGCCGAGTTTGAATATTGGAACAACAACAGCAGCATAACAGAATAAACACACATACGAGAGGCGGACGCTTTGGGGACACCATTTTACTGTAAAACGCAGTCTCTTTCTGAACTCTCGCTAATACAACCGACACACTTTAAGCGAAGTAAATGTGGCTTGAAAAGAGAGAAGCGCGAGTGATTTGCCAGGTGGCGTTACTGATTGGCTGCAGAGTTAAAACGTCATTCTGTGCAACAGTGTTTTGATCTACGATCACTTTACACTCTACTAGTTAAGATGTACCGCAAGTGTCTGTGGTGCAGCCAAAATTCTGTGTGTCGCTAGTTTTAAAGGAACTACTCTCAGTATAAGGTTTGGGACGGACTTTACAACCCAACCTATGATCGAACTTCCGTCCAGCTGGTGCAACTGGCTGCTGGTTTCTGTGACATCAAAGGAACACTGAACTCAAAACAGGCTTAGTTTCCATATATGGACTGGCTACACTTTGAAATTTTGACCATGTTTACATATTACTTCAAATCCTTCCCATTTAAAGCAGCATTATGTGACAATGTTACTTTAAAATAACAGCTTCCAAATCATTTTGATGCTACAATGACTTATAATAGTGAGAACGGCATCTATGTTGTTGACACTCCAGGCTGGAATTCCTGCTATAGCACTATGTAACTGTGGAGGAGCAGCAAGAGAACCTCTCGCCAGAACTGCATTACGGCACCACATCACACACAAACAACTTAGCAGCTATAAGAAGTGGGTAGCTCAGTATTCCCAGCATGGACATCATGGCAGAGGCTGAGAAGAGACTGAAGAAGAAAAGAGGAACAGAAAAAGAGAGAGAGAGAGACCAAGCAAGAGACTAGATGAGAAAGGAAAAAGATAAAAAGATGCAGGACAGATGCCGAGCTGGGCTTTTTTCTGTTAGACTAGTAAGTAGTAACTTTTTAGCTGACTTATTTTTTTGTGCTGCTGCGCTTGCTTGATGTTTTGCTGTGTTAGCAAAGTTGTTGACCTACTAGCTTTTGATCATAAGTCAGCCCATTTCGAGGTTTAGCCGCTAGTTACACTGTAAAAAATGAGAGGTCACCTCAACTTAAAATGATATAGTAACTGATTACATGGCTTTCCTTGAGTCGACTCAACTTGAGACACCAGAGTTCACACAACTCAAACTTCGTAGTCAAAAATTCTCCCAGCTACTGTTTCTAGGTCTGCATCTCAGTTAGATAAACAAAACTGAATTAGCGTTTTTTTACTCAGTTTCCCCACTAGCTGGCGCTCCTTCTATTACACAGTCCCACCTGGCATATTTTCCTCTGGGCGTCTGGATATGGACATCTATGGTATTGCTGGGATTCAAAATAACAACCTCCTGATGTTGGGATGAATTATTAGACAGTTGAACCACATGAGATGATGCTATACTTTAAAGTTAAAACAACAAATATTCTCTCCAGTGTATTAAATATTTCATTCATGTGTTCCTGAGTGGTGCAGTGGACTAAGCCATCAGGAGGTTGTGAGTTTAAGGCCCAGCGATGCCATCCCGTAAGTGAGTACCCAAGAGGAAAAATCTAGCAGTATTGTGTGATGGAGAGAGTCCTGGCTGGTGGGGAAGCTGAGTATAAAAACATTTTATTTACCTAACTGAGATGCAGAACTAAAACATTAAGGAAACTTTTGACTCGAGTAAAAAGCTGTGTACATTATTGTGTCATCATCATCGAGTTGAGCTGACCTCTCATTTTTAACAGAGTAGGCATCTCAACGTCCTGGACATCAGTACTGGCAGTAAGCGCTCTTTTCGTTTGCTGTCTAGCTCTGATTCTGAGTTGTCTAAACTCCTTTAAGAGAAACTTATCGAGTCAGAATTGTTCACAGTGGTGGTGATAGGAACCAGACGTCCACCTCTAAAAGCTCCCTCACAGAAAGTTACTACATGAAATGGTTATGAATTCACTGCCTGATGACTGAGACACTGTTTTAAGATAATTTAGAGAACTTAAAATACATTCATGGTGGAGGGGTACATGCAGGGTTTTGTGAGGCAAAACAGTCCCCAAAGAAATTTTCCACTATTTTCCATCATCAACATTCCATATAAAACTAGGTTCGCTGGTGGTTCTAGATAGTAAATAAAATGTCTATATTTGTGTTGTAGTCAGGGCGACGCCTGGTTCCTATCACCACCACTGTAAAGACATCTGAACCATTTCACAACAAACCTCTCTGAATCTCTCTGTTTACATCTCACACACTGAGTTATGCAGGAAATTTTGGAAAATTGGTGGACGTCCCATTTCAAAACAGTAACAGAGCAGAAAAACATAATAAAAAGACAGGCAGTGAGAGAGTTTTACGGTGAAACGGATGATAATGCAGTCCACATGTCTGTCCTGGAAGCCTCGCGGTGGACTCACAGCCAGATGTGCACACAACAACATTGGACGCTCTAGCAGCACTAGCATCTCTCTCTCTCTCTCTCTCTCTCTCTCTCTCTCTCTCTCCCCCCCTCTCTCTCTCTCCCTCAGAGACCCACACAGAGCCACTAGAACCCAGTAGGTTACCTCACTGTGCTCTGTCTGCAGTTTCTCAATCCAATAATAATAACTCACCTGCCTGGCTGTCAACTGTCTGCAGTGGAGCGCCGGTTTCTGTGGCAACCGCTGGGTGATGTCATATCATAGAGAGAGCAGAGGAGGGGAGGAGTCAGGATCTGTGTACACACAGAGGGAGAGAGAGAGAGAGAGAGAGAGAGAGAGAGAGAGAGAGAGAGAGAGAGAAAGAGCAAGAGAAAGAGAGGAGATAGAGAGATAGAAAGAGAGAGAAAGAAGGAGAGAGAAAGAGAGACAGAGAGAGTAGACAGAGAGAGACAGAAAAAGACAGAGAAAGAGAGAGCAGAAACAGGGAGGAGGAGAGAAAGAGAGAGTAAAAAAGAGAAAAATAGAGAGTACGAGAGAGAGAGCAGATAGAGACAAAGAGAAAAAGAGAGGGAGTAAAGAGAGAGCAGGTAGAGAGAGACAGGGAAAAAGAGAGAGTAGATAAAGAGAGACAGAGAAAAGAGATACAAAGAGAAAGAGAAAGAGAGAGAAAGAGAGAGAGAGAGAGAGAGAGAGAGAGGGAAGGAAGGAGGGGGAGGGAGGGAGAGAGTGAGAGTGAGAGTGTGAGAGAGAGAGAGAGAGAGAGTGTGAGAGAGAGAGAGAGAGTGAGAGAGAGAGAGAGAGAGAGAGAGAGAGAGTCAGTGTGTGATGGTTACTCCAGTGTTCGCACTCTTGCTGAGTTTAGGGTTCAGTGATAATCACAGTCAGACAGAATCTCCACTCGTATCACGGATATCAGTCAGACTGTGTACACAGGCCTGTAACACACACACACACACACACAGACACACACAGACACACACACACACACACACACACACACACACACACACACACACACAGGGCCACTCCAGTCTGCAGTACAGGGGAATCAGGATGTTTCTGCTGAGAACTGAGACCATGACTCTCATTCACGACTCATCAACATAACGACCCTGTAAATAACATAACATACATCTAGTACATTATTACACAGTAAAACTACTGACAGGTATACAAAACAGCAGCAACAGATCAACACAGACAACCATATACAACATATATACAGATCCACAATAAGGAGCTACACGAAGTTTAATTTACATACATTAATTCGTTAAAATAATAAGGAGGAATCAACTGTTCTGACCTACAACTCAGCTGTAGCCCACAGAGAGCCCTACATAAGGATACAGCGCGTGAGTGAGTGTTTAAAGGGCCCATATCATGGGAAACTGGATTTTTATCACTGTGTTGGAAATACGAGAGTTTGATGAACTTTGACGAACAGTCTGAAACTGTACTGGTCACTCTCCAGTCCACACCTGACAACTGAGCTGAAAATACAGCCCGTTTTCAACCCACTGTTTTTGTGACGTCACAAAAACCACTGTATTTACATTTATGCGCCTATTGGGCTTGAACAGTTTTTTTTTAATGAGGCACAATACAGGGAAGCCAATCAGAACAGAGCTCATTTACAACTATATATATCAGTCAAAGCATTGTGTTTAACTGTGAGGGGTAAAGAGAGGATAGAAAAAGGTAAAGGCAGATGTGGATGTGGCAGATGTGGATGTGGCGGATGTGGATACAGGCCCTTTAAAGTGCTCAACAATAACCATCACCGGACACAGCCATTACAGACACGGCCCTTTAACGGTAAGACTGACCCACATCTACACACTGACCCGTCTGACACCAGTGAGCTAGAGTAATATAATCTGAGGGAGAGAGAGAGAGAGAGCGTGAGAGAGAGAGAGAGAGAGAACAGAAAGAGAGAAAATAGAGAGAGAGAGAGAGAGAGAGAGAGAGAGAGAGAGAGAGAGAGAGAGAGAACACAGAGAGAGAGAAAGAAAGAGAGAGAGAGAGAGAGAGAGAGAGATGAAAGGAAGAGAGAGAGCAGAGAAAGAGAGAGAGAGAGAGAACAGAGAGAGAGAGAGTGATGAAAGGAAGAGAGAGAGCAGAGAAAGAGAGAGAGAGAGAACAGAGAGAGAGAGACAGAGAGAGAGCTCGATAGAGAAAGAGAACAGAGAGAGAGAGAGGAATGGAAGAGAGAGAGCAGAGAAAGAGAGAGAGGAAAGGAAGAGAGAGAGCAGAGAAAGAGAGAGAGAACAGAGAGAGAGAGGAAAGGAAGAGAGAGAGCAGAGAAAGAGAGAGAGAGGAAAGGAAGAGAGAGAGAGAGAAAGGAAGAGAGAGAAAGGAAGAGAGAGAGAGCAAGGAAGAGAGAGAGAGCGAGAGAGAGAGAGCGAGAGAGAGAGAGAGAGAGAGAGGAGAGAGAGAGAGGAGAGAGAGAGAGAGAGAGAGAGAGAGAGAGAGAGAGAGAGAGAGAGAGAGCGCGTTTTGTTGACAGGAAACGTCGTTCTGAAGCTGGAATGTTAAACATGCGCTGTGATCCCAGAAAACCCCTCAAAACATTCACACATCCACATAAACACACAACACTGATCTGATATTAATCTGATCAACTCGCTTTAATCAAAGCGCCGACTGTGGCCTGAACTGGTTTACCTGGTTAATGAGGACAGAGTGATCAGAGAACGACTCAGAACGACGAGAACTCAGAGGTGTTTCTGTCTGACTTCAGTTCCACTCTGAGCTCTGACTGAACTCGGCAGTGCGGCCCCCGAGCCCAGCGTCACTGTACACACACAGCCTTCTATAACCATGTAATAAACTGTGTAATAAACTGTGTGTGAACTGTAATCTAAATACTGCACTGATTTATTTGAGCTTTGTGCTGACACCCCTCCAACAACAGCAGTTTTCTACCCAATTCCACACGTCGTATCACCAAACACACCAGCTGCGTTTTAGCAGCAGTTCAACCAACATGACCACTATGACACCACTCAGCAGCTCAGAAACCGGTGCCAAAAATTTGTGAACGTGCCGAAAGAAAAGATGTCAGGTGTCGAGATCAAGAACACGGGCTAGGTTTAACAGACCTACATCCTGGGGACATTTAAAGAGATTTAACAGATATCTGTATCTAATGTAGCCTAATGTAGACAAAACAAGTCATTCTGGGCCGTTTATTTTAGTCCATCCATTATATAATTTACATACAATGTAAACAGCAACAGGCATTTTCAAATTATGTCAAAAACGGAAAAACGTCAAAAATGGAGATATGGGGCGATATATATCAAGTATGCACATGTAATATTAGAAGGTTTATTACAGGTGCCTATATTTTGCTGTTGATGTTTCGATGTATTATAATATAATAGATAGATTTTTTAATACGGCCCTTTTAGTGGTTGAGCTCAACACCCCTCACCTAAAAGATGCATCTAAGTACTTGTTTTGGTCTATTTTCCTTCTCTGCGGTTAACAGGATAGGAGTTCATCAACTCTTATTGATGCTCAAAAATATTTTTAATACCACTTTTATGAACCTTACAGCACCAGGGCAGTGCGATATATGAAATTAAAATCATCATAATCACATAATAATCATTGTATTCAGTTACAATGCAGCTAAATGCAGCTTTTTGTCTCTGTGTGAAACTATTGCGATAAGTATCGTGTAACGTGATATGACACTTTATACACATCGTCCACCTCTATATACAAATTTGGAAAAATGAGAGGAATTCCTGTTTAAAATATCTGTGTTGGCCACACAATATTCAAATCAGGCCGGACAGTCTTAAAAAACATCTTCAAAGGTTCTTTAGTCAAGAAAATGGTTCTATACAGAACCATGAACACTCAAAGAACCTTATAGCAGTCTAATCTGACTCCTGACCACATCTCCTGAACTAAAAGCCTGTTCTCAGCAGTCACTGAAAGAGTTAACAGAAATCTGAACAGCTTTACTTGTAAATACCTGAAGTTCGGGTTCCAGTAGCCTTTGGCCAACTGCAACTTCAGCTGCGCGCAAAAAATCCGTTTTGGACTGCGGCCTGGATCTCAGAGCTGATAACGATCCGTCAAAAGTGTTGACAACACGAGCTTTCAAAACACTCTTAATCCAAACGCCCACGTTTCCTCCGCCAGTGAGCAAAACCTGAACATAATAAAGCAGGTTTATTTAAAGGAATACAGCATCATTTTACTCCGTTCTGATGCACTCAAACCTTCCAGGTGTTCAAACCGTGTTTGAGAGCCGTCTAATCAAGTAAACAGTGGCTAAACAGCTGTCAATTCCAACCGTACTGGTTTCGATTAGCTACGACACGCTCAGTAGTGTTTTACACTGGAGGCGCAACATTATTAAGATGTCTGAGACGTTGATTGACAACAGCTTTGAGAAGGTTTTGGGCTAAAGCATGTCTTTAAACTCCATTCATGGTGGAGGGATACATGCAGGGTGTTGTGAGGCAAAACAGTCCCCAAAGAAAACATATAATTTCAGATTCATCACTATTTTACCATCATCAACATTCCATATAAAACTCAGAAAACATGTAGGTTTGGGCTGAACGGTTGTAATGTTTCTGAACAACATTGCGATTTAAATGCAGTCATTTTTTATAAATTACTTTTTTAAGACCAGAATATCCATTTTTGGATCTGACTACCAGTCAGTTGTGATGGTTGTGATGTCACATGTACAGAACATGGGTGTTTTGTTGGTTTTGATTGGTCTAACTTGGGGTTCGGTAACCTGCGGCTCTTTTACTGTCCTGTTGCGGCTCCACAGCTGAATCAGATTAGTAGGTAAAAATAAAAGAATTCTCCTTTACAGTAAAATAAAGCTCTGCTGATCGTTCAACACAGTTTAACAATAAATGGTCTTAAACTCTGGAGTTAATGTAGAACTGCTGATTCACCCTTTAACCCTGAAGATCAGCGCAGACTGCTCGTCACCCTAGCAACACAGACAACAGTCTCGCCTAGCTAGTAGCTAACGAAATGTTAAAGAGAGAGATTTAAGACGAACGTTGATAATTTGGAGACGAATGGACTTATTTGCTTTTATAATCACTCCAGCTGGTTTCCTGATACGTTTAATCTGCAATAAGAAACTGACAAACACTAAAAAGTTGTGAAGCTGAAGTCAGTTTCTCATTCGCCAGCTTCTTGTTGGAATTGTTCCGTTCCACTTTAAATGGTGCAGCAGTTACATTCTGGAACCTCAGGCCCCATTTAAGCTGGAACGAGAGAATTCGAACAAGAAGCTGGTGAA